CATCTAACCAGAACTGGAAAGAGCATCTTTGGGCACTATTTGGCCAACCTAATAAGAAGGGCTTTAGACTAGGTTCCACGGGGGCATGAGGAGCAAAAAACTCCCCAGCAATAGAGCAAACTACCCAGAGGGGAGAGGTTCAAAAAGGCTCAAGTTGGGAAGGGCCAGAAGACCACAGGACAGCAATAAGGGATATATGGGAAATGAGTAAATCAAAATGCAGAATACTTCCAATGTATGTATAGAAGTATAGGAAACAGATGAGATGAGCTGGAAATCACAGCCTACGAAGAAAACTGATTTGGTTGGCAACACTGAGACTTGATAGGACAACTCTGATGACTAATGTCAATATTTAGGGGTACGCATAGTTTTGGAAGGACAAGACTTGGAGAGAAGGTGGTAGCACTGCCATATGGATCATACGTTTATTCCTTAGTTCAGGAGAAGGTAGGAGATCAGAGTGCATTTTTGTGAAGATAAGATGTGAAACATACAATCCCCATCAGGAAGGAAAGGTGGATGAGGCACTCTTCAAAGAAATGACAAAATTATCCAAGAATTGAGATGATACCAATGAGGGACCTCAATTTTCCAGGTATCTGCTGGAATAATAATACAGTCAAACATAAAATGTTGATTAAGTTCCTGACTTGTATGGAGGACAATTATCTATTTCAGAAAGTTGAGGATACAACTATTGGATCTTGTTCTGACCATCAGGGAAGAACTGGTAGAGGATGTGAAGCTGAGGGGAAACATAAAAAGGAAGTGATCATGATATGGAATTCACATTTCTGAGATGGGGAAAGCATGAGGTCAGCAGAACTGGATTTCAAAACGGCTGATTTCAACTGAAATGCAAGTCAACAAATATCAGAAAATACAAAATGGGTGACCTGGCTGGATGGTAGCACTATGGAGAAGAATCTAGGAGTCTTGGTGGATCACAGCATCTATAAGTCTGCAGTGTGACACAGCTGCAAAAAAAGGCAAATGCAGTTTTGGGCTGCATCTGTAACTAGGTGTAAGACACTGGAGATGATAGGCCTCACTTAGAGTATCATATGGAGTTCTGTACTCCATTTTAAAAGGTATATGGAGAGTTAGAGAAGGTCCAGAGGTGCGTGACAAAAAAAATAAAAAAAAAATAAAATAAAAATAGAGGGCTCAGAAGGCAAGGCCTATGAGAGGTGGACAGAAATAGGCATGTTCAATTTATGAAAAAGGTGACTGAGAAGGGACATGATAGCAGTCTTCAAATACATAAAGGGCTGCTGTACAGAAAAGGGGTAACCCTTTTACTTTGTTGATTCAGAGAGCAGGACGTGTACCAACAAATTAGTTGCAGCAAAACAGGTTTAGATTGAATATCTAGAAAAACGTTGCTGCTAGAATGGCGAGTCAGTGGATTAGACAGTTTAGGGAGCTTGTAAAATCTCTTTTGATGGAGGTTTCCAAGAGGTTGGATAAGCACTGATCAGGAATGATTCAGGAGTAACTATGCTGCACTGCTCTGTAAAAACCAAAAGTTAAAAGCCCAGGAGCATTTCTGCCCCGCTCCAGGATCACTGGGAGATTACAAGAGCTCTAAACCCACAGCAGGAGGATACTGGCAAGAGAAACATTGCTCAGCACCTGGAATGAAGCAGAGCTACAGAACCAGCTTAATTATGAAAGACAATTAAAGCAGCCAAAATCAACTCTCAGAGATTTGGAAATGGGATTTCTAGCTGTCCATTTATGGGGTGTGATGTGTGATCATGCTTGCTGTTCCCAGGTTGCAAGACAGAATGGAGGGCATTTACTTTTTCTTGTGCTTCTGAGTCTTTCTGGTTACCACACAGGGCTGGGAAGAAATTTCTCCCTCCTTACCTGTTGTGACCAGTGTCTCTCCCCCACCAAAGAATCCTTCCTTTAAAGCCAAGACTGCCCCTCTGCTCAGGGTCAGACCAGTCACCATATTTGGGTCTGGAAGGAATTTTACCCCATAGTAGCAGGGTACTGTCCTCTTCCTTGGATCTGCTGAGTGCATTTTAACAACTTTACAGCTGCTCTACTTGTGGCTCCTTAGGGCACTGTTTTTTTTGGGCAATGGGCTATGCAGCTGTGCAATGGGGTTGATTCTGTAGTTTTAGAAACAGGATGGCTTAGGCTAGGATGATCCAGCTGCAGCCATGTGTTTGGATAAGGTAACCTCCCAAAGTCACCAGCCCTACTTATCCATGTTTCTAGGTACTTCAAAGCTTGGACTCGGGAAATACTGATGCCGTGAGAATATCTAATGCAAAAAGCGTTTTGCTGCTTCCCAAAAGCATTAAAAATTCTTATTAAATACTTGTGCTTTCACTGGGAAAGTAAACAGAGCTTTTAATTAGGGTTGTCACATCTTGTGCCATTTTAACCATCCTGCACCTAATGCTCAGTCACAACTTAAGACCTTCACTAGAGTATCCAGTTCCCAACTGCATTTATGGAATATATACCAAGCCAAATGGACAAAATGCATCAAGCCTTATAAAACTTGTAGAGTAAGGTGAGGTAGTTCATGGCACACCGTATCATGAAATGTTAACATCCAAATCTACAACATACTAAGAACAAAGACTTTTTTTTTTTTAAATGAGTGATTTCAAGGAACAGAATTTGTATTTTCTTCATATTTAGTGATAATCTTGACAATGATTTTAAAAGAGTATATATAATTTTTAATCCAAAATTGTAAGTCTTGCATGTTATGATACAAAAAAGCAGTGATGTTTGGTTCTTTGCCTTCACTGGTGCTGTTGAAGCTGTAGGTCTCAGCTGAACCCAAATCCATGATGGTGCAATATCATAACTTAATGTAAACCAAAGTGCAAGTCAAACTTCATACAAGACATGGTCACAAAAGGTACCAGGAGCTTCAATACATGACTTGATAGCATGTAGTATGCATCCTTACCACCACGGTGCAAGTAATTCAGCCTTCTGACTGCCACATTTCTGATGACCTGCTCAATTTTAATTACTGGCAGCCCAGTCCAATCAGGTTGAAGTTGAAACCCAAACCCCTCCTTCCACCCTATACATTTCAATGTATCAAGATCTGAAAAAGAAGGTTGCGAACTGTTCCTACAGTCAATGAAGACAGTTAATCAGCACACATGAAAGCCTGAATTCTGTTATTTTCAGTCAATGTTTTAAAAGCTTGCAGAGTTCCCATGGTTCATTTTCAGACTGTTCTTCTAGGTGTGTTTTTGTTGTAAATGAACTCAGTTACAGAACTGTGTACAGCAAAGCGAATGTCCTTGCTTGAAGGCTAGCTACCAGCCCTTTTCTTTTTTAATAAAAAACTAAGCCATGCACAGACAAGACAACAAACCTCTGCTTACAGATATGAACAGGGAACTCTTGTTTCTTGCATTCTGCTGCAAAGCCACATAGCTCACATGGCAGTTCAGAGCAGCACTCCTGAACTTCTCAGGTGAGCCACCAGACTTTTCAGAAACACATGATCATTTCCACATGCAACATGGCAAAAAGACATGTATGAAGTAGCTGAGCCTAGATTTAGTTCACTGAAGGAATAACATGCTTTAAGAGAACACTCAGCTTGTGGCTCACTTCCTTCACTGTCAGTTTTCTGCAAAAATGTGTGGCGTGACCAACACTGATCACGCTACCTTGTTTTGTACATGTTCAGAGCACACCACCATTGCATTAGTTAGCCATGCAGTTCTAGCACGTGATATTCTTCTCTTGGACATACCTTTCAGCATAAACAGCTGTTTCATGTTCAGAAGGAGACAAGACAGTATGTCTTTTCATTATGAAGCTGAAGCGCACACCCCCTACAATATTATTCTTTTTTCCAAACCCCCATTGACTCCTATTTTCTACTCTGTATCTTCCAATAGTCACTTATACTCTCATGTCCTTCCCCCACCTGGCCCATCAGTGACCGTATTTACCCAAATCCAATATGACTGTGAATTTAAGATACCTGCCCCCCCCCCCCCCCCCCCGGAATTGGATATGATACATGAAAACTAAAATTTAGTTATACGTTCTATGTAAAGAATCTACTTAAAGTTTGTCTTGCCCAATGCTGCAGCTGGGAAAGCAGCAGCAGGAAGGCAGGCAGCCTGAGCCCTGCCCCTCCCTGGGTACCTGTGACTATGCCCTCAGCCACTGCTTACACTCTACGCCTAGCTCTGGCAGTGGCTGCTGCTGTGGCCCCAACCTTCCCCAGGCTGTTACCTGGATTCAAGATGAGGCTTACATTCAACCCCACTACCCACTCCCCTCCCTCAGCATGTTGGAGAGGGAGAAAAACCTCATCTCAAATTCAAAGAAATATGGGAGCTATGTAGACTATGAGCAAAGCAGAAAGAGTTGCAAGCATTGCTGGCACTACATTTTTAGCAAAGATAGCCTTTCATGGCACAAAACAATCCTTACAATCTCCTCTTACATGGTTACATCATGTGTCTCAATACATTGAGAAAGCATAAGTTAAACTCAAAGACAAATAAGTCGAAGTGTATTTTATTGACAAATAGACTATCCAAATAGTCTATTAAAGAGCAACAGGAAGATTTTTAAAAATACAAAACTGTTAAAGCTTCTAGCTTGCATTCAGTGTAAAAACTTGGAGGTATAAACAGAAAATTGGAAAATCAGTACAGCAAAGTATTTTTCCAATCCTGCAGTGCAGAAACTCAGTGACATTCATTTTATATTTGCTAGAGTCATACTCCTGTTCCAATTCTGTATATAAATCTCTCCTCTATATAAACTTTTCAGATAATTTTCTGTACAAATAAGATGTCAGACATCTGTTCTCCTACATAAATACATAATTTGACTGAAAATATTATAATAGTTTAATAATTTGACTGTCAAAAAAGTACGTAGAAAAAAATCTATATAAACAAAATTAAAGTTTCCAATGGCAGTTTGTGTTTGTAAAAGAAATCCCATTAATTATAATCTTAGGATAAAGTAACTGTTGCCCATAAAATACATTGCTTGTACTACCATGCAGGATTATTGCATACACAAGTCGCTTGTTTTTCAATTACAGTAATAGAAATGAATCTATCGTTCAAAGGACATGAGTGCAGACAGAACTCTAGCAAGTGCTAGCTTTAAAGAAGGCTCATATGCACTATGAAAATAAATGTAGTGCTAGTGTATTTTAAAAAATAAAATATTGCAAGTTTAAATAAGTCTCAATAGAAAAGACAGTAAGGCAACCAGGACTTGTAGCTTCAGTTTGACATCCAGTTGCATTAATTTACCTTCTCAGCACACTACTCTTGGTTTGCAAGTTGCAAAAAGAACATTTGTTGTACATACAGAATAAATCAGTGCAAAGTTCAAAACTGCTTCTTAGCAACTTAGTTCAACATTGCTGGATCAGTTCCTTGAGCACCATCATCTTCGGTGCCAATTTTTTCAACTCCTCACTTTTCCAGCCAGGCTTATAATGTGATAGACTAGAAAGAGAACATTCACCAACCCTGTCAAAATAAAGGTGTTATGGATTTACTTCATTTTTGGGATATTTCTGAATTTAAAGGGTGCAAAATGGATTTGATATTTCAAAGAGTAAAAACTTGATTTTACAAAGTATAGCTATCTGAATTAAAAACATGCGCTATACACACACACAAACAAACACAGTAGATCAAAAGCTTTGACAGACTTTTCTTTATGGCTTTTATCACTGAGGTACTGTTACAACAATGTCCACTAACCAGATTCTAATACTCAGCCTTTACTTAAAAAAAGAAAAAGGAAAAAAAAAAAATCAAATTCATAGTTACTATGCCACGAGTTCATGAAGCAAGTGGCAAAGGACTACAAATTCAGCTTTATTGTAAGGGTACAAAATTATTTTCCTCTATAAACAAAGGGTCCCAGAGTCTCAGTGCAAGCTACAGAAAAAAAGGTTCAAGGCAACTAGCAAACTGGGATACTAGCATGAAAGCCTATTCCATTTGACAGAAAAGGATCCTCTGACAAGTTAGAGTCTTTCAATCAGACCGTTCCATACGATTAGCAGCAAAATATCTGGGACTTGGTATTCCAAGGCAGCTGGGGTGTATGGCAGGATGGGCATGAACAATAGACTGATGTGCAGAAGAGCCCTTTGCATCTTATCCTTTAGCTAAAAGGACAAGCAGAGGTTAACATACAGCCAAAATTCACACACAACTGAAATCCTGGTAGGCCAAAGAGGCATTATCCATTTGCCATCCTCGTCCCACGCACAATTTCAGCTCAAGCTGTAAGCAGTATACAGGATCAAACCCTGGCTACCATGGGCTTTATATTGCCTCAGCTTAAAAAAAAAAAAAGTTTATGCTCATTTATATACAAAGGATTTAAGTGATCATCTTCTCCCAATTTACTTTACTCCTTGTTGAGAAAGATTAATCAGAGACAGTTCAATCCCCCACTTTCAAAAATAGCATTTCTTATCTTAATACAGAGGCACTCGCATCAAGGACAAACAGCAGCCCGATACCTTTTGACTGCAGTATAGCTGTTGGTGTATTTCTACATTTATACTACAGTACCACCATTTCAGAATATGGCAGCATCTCTCCTGAATTTGCAGTAAACTCTGCTTGTAATATTCTGAAATAAGTATATCAATGTCTGTCCATAGACTACATAAGAACAGGGGAGCTGTTTCTGTATTAAAGGACAAGGCTAAAGTTCTAGCATGATGGCTACAGCTGGCTGCATACTCCTCACATCAGGATACTGTCCAATGTTTACGCCCCCAAATTGGCCAGGTATGACTCAAATTTATGCCTAGATTTTTCACCAATTTGAAACAATCAATCTGCACCACTTAAATCAACAAATTCATCGTCTCTCTTTGCCAAGTCTTCCTCATCTTCCAAGTCTTTCCAAGTGCTTGTAGGTAAAACTGGTTTGAGAGAATGTCTCTGAAGCAAAGCAAATGGGAACAACGATGACAAACGGGCAGAATTTCTCAAAGTTGGGACGGCATCTGCATCTTCAGCGGCAGTCTGGCTATGTTCTTCATCCATTTGCTTCTGCAGCTTCTGCACTTCTTCCATCACATCCAAGAACTTAGTTGTAATGGCAACTGTACCACCACCAAGAAGCTGTGCTTCAGGAATCCACCGTAAATATCGCTGGGTCCAGACTTTGATTTCTGGTCCTTCAATGTGAGGCAGCAGAAGCCCATGAAAGTCAACAGGTTTACAGTGCCAACTATCATAAAATTCTCTGAAGTTACTATGTAGCTCCTCTGAAGAGTTTATCAGTTTGCTAATTCTTTTGCCCAGAATATTTTTAATTAAATGATCCGTTTCCTCCCTGAAAAATCCTCTCTTTGGAGAAGATTTAGTTTGTGTCAGTGGCAAAGAAAGCTGCCGGTGATGCTTTAAGAAAAATCAAAAGAGAATTATTAAAAAGGGCACTAGAACTTGAAAATGTTAGCTTAAATTTGGAATAAAGTTAAATAAGTTTCATTCAAATAATGATCCACTTAGGCTTACAGGAATATAAAACTGAATTGGGTTAAGCCAAGGGTTCTCAAACTTTATGATACTGTGACCGAGTGCTGGATGGTGGTGGCAGGGGACGGGGAGCTCTCACACAGCAGCCACTGCTGCCATCCACCACTCCATGCTGCCACCGCCACATGCCACTTCTCCCCACTGACACACGTACCCCCTGGGAAGTTTGTGGCCCCCTTTTAAGTTGCTTGTGACCCCCTGTGGAAAGCACAACCCACAGTTTGAGAACATCTGGGTTAAGCTATTTATTTGTCTCCTGTACATTACTTTGGATGTTAATAACTAAGGCTGCTTGCAGATGTTAAAAAAATGGCATTTTAAACTCCATGAACTCCTAAGCCCAGCACATGCCCAGAAGAGGCAGCACATTAGTTGGACCTGGCTTGCTCAGTGTCTGTAGATCAGGCACTTTAATGAATGAGGCTTTTTTGGTACTTCTCCAAGAGCTGACTGAAATCAGCTTCAGATAAAAGCACAAGAAAACCCCGCTGAAGCTCCCAATCTACACAGACACTGCAGAGCTGGGTCAGAGTAAGGCACTGCTTATTTTGGTAAAGTACAGGGGGGGGTTTCCATTTTGTTTTTTAAACATCCAAAGTCTTCTGAAAACAAGGTAATAAGTTTTATTGCTCTGTACTGGAATAAAACTTCTGCAAATAAGTATCACTGAGCTTGAAAGTTTGCCCAGGAGAGAAAAAGACTAGTTTAAAAAATGAGACACTACTGGAATTAGATTTTATTATTTTTTTAAAACATTAATTTCAAGTAACCTATGCAACTACAGAGCTTCCGTTTACCATCAGCATTCACGACACATTTACAACAACTCAACATTACAGGATCTGGGCAGTGTGCACACTTAATACAGAATCAAATAGAGTCCCCATCCCAGGAAACTTACAATTCACTGGAAATCCCTACTTAAAATGGGATACCACACAATGCCCTGGTGGAGCCTTAGTTTGAACATTTTAATCTTCTACAATAAAAGACTTGCCCATCCACAATTATTGATAGTTTAAATGGTCTCTATTAGTTATCAAGATCAATCAGATCAGTAATAAATTAAAACAAACTCAAGTGCTTTACGAAAAGTAAATATCTACTATAACCCAGGTAAGGTATTTGGATAAAATGACTATGCTCGTTAGTTGACAAAAGGGTAGCCATACACAGTAGTTAAGATCAGTGTTTCTGTACACATTCATAGCATTAAAACACTGAACTAACAGAACTGCTTCTGGCTACGGCAAGGTACAGGTCTTAGAATCCACAGTATTCTAAGGCAGGCATTTTTAATTTTGCCAATAACAGCATTAGTTTTGGCTCCAGGTTTCCCATACATTTGTCCCAAGTATAAATGGAGTTGCACAAAAAACTCAAAAACATGTTTGTATAGCTTCAGAATGAAGCTGACCAGACAGCTTACCTTGAATCGTGTCGTTTTCCGTTGACTTTTATCTGGTTTTGGTTTCTCTGAATAAAGAGGGTTGTTCAGCAAAGCCTGTGCTTTGGGTTCAAACTGCACAGACCAATCCCAAACTGTGAGAAGCCTGAGAGGGCTGCTTTGTGCATTGTGGCTTTCTCCAGACTGCCAAAAGAAACAGGTCACATAATTAAAGATTAGAACAGAACTCTAACATTCAACATGAGGCTACAGAGCTCTGAATTTCCACTGACAAGGTCCCATGTACTCAGCAACAAGCTAGACAAAATCCGTAACAAGATCCCTGAATCCTACAGATGGCAAGTTAAAGATAAGACTAAAATAGATGCTTAAGGAAATACAAAGCATAGTAGTCCATGTATCAAAATGGGATGTTTTACTTTACATTGCTCTACGACTTGTCACACAATGTATATCATCAACATGCTCCCACTAGGTCAGGGGTGGGCAATTATTTTGAGCAGAGGGCCACTTACTGAGTTTTGGCAAGCCACCAAGGCCCACATGACATGCAGCCCAGGGCAGATTAATATTAATTTTCTAAAATTTTTAGGGGCCCCGTGGGCTGGATAGAATGGCCTGGCGGGCCTCATTCGGCCCCCAGGCCGCATTTTGCACACCCCTGCACTAGGTTATACCCAAAGTGCATCATGAGAGTCACTGAGGGAACCGAAAGTTTTATGAAGGAGACTGGCCTGAGACTTCAAACCAGAGAGGCAGTTTCAGAACATGGAATAAGAATCTGGTCAGGATGCATCTACTGAAGTCATCCACAAAATAGTGTCAATTAAATTGTATTTTAGGGTGTGGACACATTTGGAGCACTTTCAGAAGGAGAACATTTCAAAAGAGCAGTAGCGGTATGTTTTAATTGTTGTGTAAATGAGTTGAGAAGAATTAAGATTCAGCAAAACTGCTCCAATTCTAAACCTGGAAGCAGCAAAGTCTGCTCCCATGGACTACAGGAAGCCCAGGGCACAATTGCATTGCACTAGACAGTACAATAGTCTTTTTAAAGGAGCTAGATAGCTTAAAATCTTGTTTCCCTTGTATCAAAATAAAGGTTTCTTTATAAGAAAAAAAAAAAAAAAAAAAAAAGGGAATTTGTTCCACAAAGGCATTTAAATTTTTTCAAACAAAACACTTGAGCAAATATTTGCTTTTTACAGATCAAAAGGACACAGAGAGGTAAAGTGACTCATCCCAGGCTACAAAATAACCCCATAGTAAAGACAACATTGGAAGACAGGACCTCTTGGCTCTGTATGCTGTGCTCATTTCAGCAAAATCAGGGTCCCCAACCCTTTTTCTAGTAGCAGGCCAGATCTAGCTGTCCAATCACGTACGAGCCTAAACTCCACTAACACGTGACATAACTATAAACAAGCTAGGAACTAATTGCAGAAATAAGTTGGCCTACAAAGACTTGAAATTCCTTAAACTAAACATTGCAAACTGGTTATTTCATGAGAGTACTCCACTGGTTCTCTGCTAAGAAAGTTATCAGGTTGTATAATTAACCAACATCTTCAAGTTTGGGTTTAAAGTCTTAGTCTGTTGGCCGCAAGTTATAACTGAGATCAGAATCTTTATTTAAAATCTGTTCAAGCAATAATACTACAGATCATTTACAAGCTCGGATATACATTTTGTGCCACATCCAAATGCAACTTGGGTTGTGGAATTTACCTTTACAAAAGAGAGGCCTGGCCAATATCTATTTCAAACAGGTTAGGGAATAATCTCATCCTCTTGACATGCTTATGAGTACTGAAATTGCTCTTGGAACTCTACCTGCAATAGCACCAAGGACTTATTTGCTGGAAAATGTAACTGGATTTTAGAGGTGCACAGATACATCAGTCCGATACTGAATCGGCACAGATAAAAAGATTGGAAAATATTGGACTATATTGGAAAATGGCCTGATGTGGCTGGTAATTTGGCTGATAATGCCCATGCGTGCATGCAACCACAGCACAGCACGCAGGGATCGAGGAGCACAGCCCAGCAGCTTGGAGAGCTGTGTGCAGTTGGTAAGTCTGCTGTGGTGGATGAGGACGGGGGAGGGAAGGGGTATGGGGGGTGCAGATCAAGGCCCCTGCAGTGAGGGAGGGAGCAGGGCAGGGGTAGGCACTGCCCAGCCGGGGTGGGACGGGGCACAGGACAGAGCCGCGGTTCGTCTGAGAAGGGTGGCTCCT